CAGAGGACCTCTTTTCGTGGGGCGGAGCCCGGTGCTTCAGTCGCTTCTGAAAGATGCTCATGGAGGAAACTCCACGGGAGGTTTCTCTTCCTCTTTCTGTGCAGCCCCTTGCTTCACCTTTCCCGTCAGACTGCCCAGGTTTACATGACGTGCTGCGCTTGCTGCCTGCTTATTCTGTCTGCCCTCTGCTCCTTGTCTGTGACAGATATCAACCTTAACTCTCCCAACAAAGGTCTGCTGTCGGATGCCATGACAGATGTTCCCGTGGATAGCGCGGCTTCGGCCAGGACCCCTGCGCCTGAAGGGCTGACTCTTGCTGAAGAGGAGGAGTTGAGATCTGAGCTTGCCAAGGTAACCGGCTGGCTTGTGGGGGGTGCGTGTGCGGTCCTGCTGGGAAGGAACCAAGACAAATTCGTGGTGCTACAGGAGCCGGAGTCGGGGTTTTTTAGGAGTCTTGCAGTGGTGTTACTTGGGATCACTCAGCTAATCGTTAAAAAGCACAAAGCTGGCAGGTACTTCAAACACCGTGGCATGTTGTGTGCTCTTTCCCAGAATGTCTTAACGTACAGCTCTGAGGGAGTAAGTGGTTTTTGATGCTGTGTGCGTAATCGAGGCTTTTAGCTCCACTTGAAGTGAGAAAACTTTTTAGGCAAGTGGTATGCAAAAGCAACTTGTTTTTCCTTAGGAAGCTGAAACAACAAAGCACTTAATGTGCTTTCTTTTTCTACCTTTTTGTCATAAATATTTATTACCCTTTATAGGTGGCTATTTTTGGCACCTATATGCCTTTGAAGAGCTGGGAGTTTGTAATGTAATATCCTACGTTTTGGGTGCCTTTTGGGGTTTAAAGTCAGTTGATAATTTGCCTCGGCAATGCAGGTGAAGGTAATTGCAGCTGTCCTTCCGTAGCCCTTTCCTTCATTTGAGACTCTCGTGGTGATTCTTCGACTTGCAGCTTTTAACAAGGGAGGACTTTGCTCTGGGTGGTCACACGGATCTCTGTGAGCTGGGGTTGAAGTGGAAACGAACCCTCTCTGCCTGGAAACGACTCCAGGGTGCTCTCAATCTTGTAAGAAAGATCTCTGAGGAAAACCACTTTGCTGTAATGACATCAGAGGAGAATTGTATGATGGGAATCTTGGTTAATAATGTTTGGCAACTGATTTTTATCTGCTGTTGAACTTGCGCTGCTGGGAATGAGTTCTGTTAATCGCAGTGCCGTTAAGTCACTGCTACGGACTTCTGTGGGTGTTTTCTCAGCTGAAGCCTGGTCTGTAGGTTTCCCATTCCAGCACCATTCGTGTTCAGCTGTACCTGCTATTCCTACAAAATCTTTAAATTCGTGCGAATGAGATCTTGCTGGTCCTGAGGAAGGTAGGAAGTTGGCTTAGCTCTCAGAATTCTACAGAGCTGTGATTTCAGACAAACCTCTGCCTCTCTCTAAGGTTGAAGAAGAAATTGGTACTCTCAGGCAAGTTCTGGCTGCTAAAGAGAGGCACTGTGGAGAGCTGAAGAGGAAGCTGGGTTTGACTCCCTTGGATGGGTTGAAGCAAAACCTGTCTAAAAGCTGGCATGACGTCCAAGTCTCCAACGCGTGAGTGTTGCTTGTGATGCATGTTTATTTACCTAGGACTCTCTAGTAATTATTTCCCAGCAGTGTGTTCCAGGGCTCTTCCACGTGGCTGAAGGTGGTTGCTCTGATGGGTATATGGAATAAAAGGCACTTAAAAAAAATCACTGCTCTTATAGGTCAGTGTCTCTCTGTTGGCCTAAACTGAGCTTTCCTGTCCGTGATCTGGACAAACTGTTGCTGGATGCTCTTTCCCATGATGTTAGAGATCTAAATTGCCACTTAACAGTCCATTTTGCCCGTTTCTGCCCATTCTTTGAGGTGCAGCCAGCTGTTACCTTGTTCTGAACCTGGGCTCAAAGAGAAGTCCAAGAAGTTACAAAGCTTTACTGCAGAGTGCTTGTTCAGAAGCAGTTTCCTGAGTCTTATAGCTTGGATTAACAAGCCTGCACTTCCTAGGAAAAAAATACCAGTGTGCATTACGCGTAGTTGTCTCCGCCGGAAGCTCTGACTGTTCTGAGCCGGTGTTCAGGGTATGGTCAGTGCAGGGCTTGGCCGTGCCGAAAGGGGAGTCAAGGAGGTGAGTTTGACCCCGGTTGTGCCGGGATGCAGAGGGCACTCAGTACCCACTGAGATGTCATTCAGTCTCAAACGTCTCATGTAACTTGACTGGCATTTGGAGCTACCGACAGTGCAGCTGCTGACCAGACTGCTGACCTGTTCATCTCACTGTTTGTTCTTTCCCTTTCCCTTGTCTTCCCTACTCCACCCTTGCCCTACTTCTGTTCCTCCTTTGTAACAGAAATCTGTGTCATTGTCTTCTAAAAATGAATATTCAAGTTATATTCATTAACACTTTCTGTTTCTAGTTATGTGAAAACATCTGAGAAACTTGGAGAGTGGAATGACAAAGTGACACAGTCTGACTTGTGAGTGCCTGGGGCTCCTCAGCATCCCTCCTTGCTGCATTCCCCGACCCGTGCTGCTCCGTGTTCTCCCGGGCATCAGGGGCTGACTGGGAGCTGGGGGCGTGGGGAAGCAGGGCTGTTAGCAGCAGCCTGCCTGGCTTCCAGCTACAAACACCCCTGAGTTGCAGAGATGAGTGAACGCTACTGCTGCCATCTCTCCCATGGTCTTGCTATTGCGGAAGAAAAATTCCCATCAGTTACCAGACCACGTTTGACTTGAAAAAATGCAAAAAATCAACCTCAGTTTCCCTTTAGCTGGTCACTGGTAGGTTAGTTTGTTGTAATCGGGTGTCTCCTTAGTCAACCTCTGTCTTTACTGTCAAACTGTCCCTTCTCGCCGTCGGGTGTGGCAGGAATCGGTTTGATTTTCGCCTTTCTGTACGGCCACGGGGGAGAGAGCGTGCCCGAAGGCCCCTACCTGGGGCTGGAAAGGGGGCAGTGCAAATGCAGATACATACATCAGCTTCTGAAAGCTGCCATGCGGCTGGGTGTGAACCTTCTCAATGATGTCAACACCAGAAAGCCATGGATTTTAGTCTTTGGGGTATATGTGAGCAGGTGATGAGTGGGGACAAAGCACCTGGCTATACTCTTGGTCTAGAGTGTATCTTTAGTAATCCCCATTCATGTTGGGTATCAACCACTTCCATCCCTGCTGAGTGTAAGGGAGATCCTGCATGTTTTCCACACTGAAGTGTCTCCCTTCTGTGCCTTGTGTAGAAGGAGAGGATTATTTAGCTCAGAAGTTGTGGCTTGGGAGCATCCCATCATAAGCAAGACGGCACCCATTTCATCGGGGAGGGTTACATCTAATCTGCTGTATGTCCCCTCCCCTGAGCACCTCTGGGTGTTGTCTGCGTGGCTGCAGACACTCTGGTACTTGTTTGTTCTGTACCGGCAGCGTTAATCCCCACAACCCCAGGGTGCTGGTTTGGGTGCAGGCAAACGTGGTTTGTAAAGATCG